TGCCATTCCAAAGTTGTGCACTGTCTATGGTAAACCCCAATTAACAATGTGGATGCAGGTCTTTGGACCAGTTGAATTTTCTGTACAGTCTTCAAAGTCAGCCCCACGTAGAGTGTGTTACAGTAATCAAATGGGGCATAACTAACACATGTACCACTACGGTCAGATCCAATGTCTCAAGAAATCAGCGCAAGTGGCACTCCTGGCCTCCAGGTTTTATGCAGAGTCCTGAAACTACAAACCTGTGTCTTCAAGGGGATTGCAACACCATCAAGCACAGGCTGGATCCCCTTTCCCAGATCTGCCTTTTGCCTGACCAGGAGCGCTTCTGCCTCGTCAGCAGGGGTTTTTTTTAATTCTAAGATTGGAATCATTTATAGATCCTTTGATCAATAAGAACTATAATAATATAATAACTGGTAGTTTTGGTTGTTAATAATTTCAGTTGAATTATTTAACTGGATCTGTAATAGTAGCATTACATAAATGAAGGAGGATCACAGATCTTTTATGTTTCAATTAGAATTTAGTGCTTCAGTTAATGTTCATTGGTTTGATTTATGTTTCAGTGTTGTGTTTTAATTTTAGTCACTTTTTTCTTTCTGCTTCCTCTTTGCCTGAATGTATGTTATGTTGGTGGTGAATTACACTGTATTAAAATCAAACAATCAATAATGTGTTAAAAAGATCATTTGAGGGCTCATACACAATTTAAACAAATGCTACCTTACATATGTGTTTTCGAAGGCTTTCATGGCCAGAATCGCTGGGTTGTTGTGAGTTTTCCAGGCTGTATGGCCATGTTCCAGAAGCATTCTCTCCTTTTTAAAATTAAAAATAGGGAGAGAATGCTCCTGGAATGGCCATACAGCTCGGAAAACTCACAGCAACCCCACTACCTTACATAGTCTTTCTTATCTGGAAATCTTGTAGATGTTGTTTAACACCTACAGGAAGGCACTGGGAGAGATCATCCAGAATTTTGGAGTTCAATGACATCTGTATGCAGATGATGTTCAGTTCTATCACTCCTTTCCATCTACTGCTAAGAAGGCTGTTCAGGTCCTGAACTAGTGCTTGGCTGCTGTGGCAGTCTGGATGAGGGCGAACAAAATTGAATCCAGACAAGACAGAGGTACTCCTGATAAGTTGCAAGGCTGGACAGGGCATAGGGATACAGCCTGTGCTGGACAGGGTTATGCTACCCCTGAAGACATAGGTTTGCAGCTTGGAAGTTCTCCTGGACTCATAGCTGAACCCAGAACCCCAGGTTTTGGCGGTGGCCAGGGGAGCTCTTGCACAATTAAAACTTGTGCACCACTTGCACATGTACCTTGGGAAGTCAGACTTGACCATGGTAGCCCACGCTCTTGTTACATCCTGAATAGACTACAGCAATATGCTGTACATGGGGTTGCCTTGTTCGGAAGCTCCAAATGGTCAAATGGGCGGCAGTCAGATTTCTCATTAGAGCGGCATACAGGGAGCATACCACCCCCCTTGTGTCAGCTCCACTGGCTGCCCGTCTGCTACCGAGCATTATTTAAAGTGCTGGCTTTAGCTTATAAAGCCCTAAACAGTTCTGTCCCAGCTTACCTGTCCAAATGCATCTTCCTCTATGAACCAACTTGGAGATTAAGATCTTCTGGAGAGGCCCTGCTCTCGGTCCCACCTCTTTCACAGGCGTGACTGGTGGGAACATGAGACAGGGCCTTCTCAGTAGTGGCCCCTCTGCTATAGAACTCTCTCCCCAGCTTTTTGACTATGATCTCAGATTGTGTGGTTTTAATAATGTGTTTTAATCTTTCTTTGATTTTAAATTCATGTTTGAATGTATATGTTTATTTTATTTCTGTTGTGTATATGGCATCAAATTGTTGACTTTGTAAGGCTGCTCTGAGTCCCCTCCGGGGTTGAGAAGGGTGGCATATAAATACTGTAAATTAAATAAATAAATAAATAAATAAATAATCTGAAATTGAGAATATTCCAAAACTCAAATGTTTTTCTGCCAGCTTCCCATTTTTATCTTGGGGAAAGAGGGCTAGTCACACGTCTAGCGCCAACTAAGTTTTTCCTCAAGGAGCCCTAAGGGAGGAAAGGGGGGGGGGGAGCAGAAGAGAACACCATTTACACAAAAAAACCCAAAAGGCAGGCACCCCAGACACTTCCATCTTTGTCCTCTACCCGACCAATGGTGGCATGTGGTGGGATGGGTTCCCTGGAAACAGGTACAGTGGGCAAGTGTTGGTCATTGTCTATATGCAGCCCTTCAGATACTTTGTTTAAAAAGCAGGAACTCTACTGAGAGTTGAAGAAGTGTCCGAGGCGTCTGCTTTTTATAGAGCCCTTATGTAAGCAGAGCCATGAGTGTCTGCTGAGAATGAACTGAGCTAGGCATATGGTCATCCCTCCCCTGTCCCCATCTCTCTCAATATGCAAATACAGGTATTTCAAAATCTTAAAAAAAACAAACTTCAATTTACATTCTCACTAAGCTGATATAATAAAAATGTTCTAATTGTTAAATTTTACACATTTATTTAAATAATCCAAATATATGTACCAGTTATAAATTAAATAAGATTATATCTTGTAGTTCTATGTATCATGTAGCAATGATAGAGAATAAACATGTTCGTATTTCCACATATTTTTTTCAGTAATACCATTTTGCTACTCTTTTTGAGAAGGAAATGTTTCATACGACCCCCTCACCACAAATTTTCAGTTTTGTGATTGAAACTGATTGAAAAAACCAAGAAACTCTCCCTACCCTTTGGGAAATGACTTCTCAAATATATTACTGTTTGGGAACAATTAAATTAAAGAGACCAATAGGCAATTTCCTGAGCAATAAAGCCCAGAGTTCCGGCAATGTTTTATTATGTAATATTGCATTATTAATCAGAACAATTACATGTTTGATAGTAACATGAATAAGTTTATAGGGGTGCTATATATATATGTATATATGGTACAGATATTGTGGGGGCCCTGGTGGTGCTGTGGGTTAAACCGCTGAGCTGCTGAACTTGCTGACCGAAAGATTGGTGGTTCGAATCCAGGAAGCGTGGTGAGCTTCCACTGTTAGCCCCAGCTTCTGCCAATCCAGCAGTTCAAAAACATGCAAATGTGAGTAGATCTATAGGTACTGCTTCTGCGGGAAGATAACAGCATTCCATGCAGTTATGCCGGCCACATGACCTTGGAGGTGTCTACGGACAACGCCAGCTCTTCAGCCTAGAAATGGAGATGAGCACCACCACCCCAGAGTCGTACACAACGAGACTTAATGTCAGGGGAAACCTTTACTATATATGCTTGTTTATTTATTAGTTGATTTGCTTGTCCCACAAAGGCTCTTTCATGGCTTGATCGATCTGGGCCAAACTTGGCACATATATCCTTCATTACCCAACTTAAAATAATGGAAGAATTTCAACCATAATTTAAAAGTTAAAATGGTAGTATATAGATAGAAAAGATTAACTACTGGCCTACAGGTATGTCTGTATGCAGTGCTGGGATGCAACCACAAGAGGAATTAGCTACTGATAGATAAAATGGTTGCATCATGAAATCTACAACACAGCCCCGAGGGCCATAATCGACCCCATGAGAAAGAAATTTCATAATATTTATATTTTGGAAGATGTCTATATGTATGTGTGTGTTCCTGCACCTTGCTCTGAGGCTGAGAGACTTCCAAGAAAAGGCTGCATAAAGGAAGAGAAAGGAAGTGGGGAACACTACAAGGGAAAGGAATAAAAGAAAGATAAAGAACGGAATTGAAAGGAAGTGGGGAAAGGGATGAAAGAAAAAACATGGGAAGACAAAGGAAGGAAGGAAGGAAGGAAGGAAGGAAGGAAGGAAGGAAGGAAGGAAGGAAGGGAGAGAAAGTGAGGGAAAGCAAGGTAAGAAGAAAAGAAAGGAATAAAAAAGAGAGCAACAAGGTGTATGAGGAAAAGGAAGGAAGAAGAGAAAGAGCCACAAACAATATGCACACCCGGCAGTGCTGGGTATATATGTTAGTATATAGCAGGGGTCCTCAAACTTTTTAAACCGGGGGCCAGTTTACTGTCCCTCAGACCAATGGAGGGCCGGACTATAGTTTTTTTTAAAAAAAATCAATAAAAAAATTCCTATGCACATTGCACATATCTTATTTTGCTGTGTGGAAGGGCCCTTAGAGGGGGTTCTTTCTAGCCCTCTTTAGGCAGTAATTCCAGGAGCAGAGAATGGGAAATCTTCCTATTTCTAGTCTGAACAAAATCTGGCTACCAGTATTTAAAAAACTCTAAAATTATAACTGTAAATAAAGAACAACACTCAAACACAGGGGAACTCCAGACAAGAAACAATCAGGGCCAGCTAATCACCTCTCAACAAAGGATTCTCCCTAAAAACTGTCAGGCTATGAAATGGCCATCAAGGTGGCCAATTGAAACATTCATACCTACCTCCAACAGACAAGAGTTCTTTCTCCCACTCTGGATCTTCCACAATTTTCCTGGTTAAAGGTTTTCCTCTGACATGAAGTCCAGTCGTGTCTGACTCTGGGGTGTGGTGCTCATCTGCATTTCTAAGTCGAAGAGCCAGCGTTGTCCGTAGACACCTCCAAGGTCATGTGGCCGGCATGACTGCATGGAGCACCGGGGCAGCCTCCCTTGGCTGGCTCACGCTGTCCATCGGGCCTGCCGGATAGCGTGAGCCTGCCGGATAGCGTGAGCCTGCCAAGGGAGGAGCAGCCCCGTGCGGCCTACTCGCGTGTAAAGCACCTTGCGAGATGCTTTACACGCGAGTAGGCCATGCGGAGCAGCCGCCCTTGGCTGGCTCACGCTGTCCATCGGGCCTGACGGATAGCGTGAGTCAGCCAATGGAGGGGCACTGTGTGTGGGGGGGGGCTCCTCCTCCGCGGGCCGGATAAGGGCCCTTGGCGGGCCGGAAGTGGCCCGCGGGCCGTAGTTTGGGGACCCCTGGTATATAGCATAAGGATGGGGAAGAGAAAAGAGAAAGCCCAGTAGGAATTGAAGCTGCAATCCAGCACCCTTTATAATCAAACATTTATTTATAAACAAATAACATTTTTCTGCATACATGATTTCATATTTATGTGATGGAGTGGTCCCTGATATTCTCTATCTACAGCCACATTCTGCCACTTTCATCCCCTCATATTGATATTTCAGTGTCGGGGTCCCAGCATTATCTTTGTAAAGCATGGAAATTGCATCAAGCTTCGTTGGGACGCAACAGGCTTTGGCAGCTTTCTTGGGATTTTTGTAGTGCACCAAGGTCTGGACAATAGCATGCTTGGTTGGTGTGACATTATCTGTCAGAGGAAAGAAGCAACCTCCTTTGCATTCAAACGCATCATAATCTTGAGGAGCAATTATCCAATTCCAGCCAATTTCTTTGAAATTTACTTGGAGAGAGGTTCTCCTGCAGTGATTATGTTCGGCACTTCGTTTCCCTCTGGAAAGAAGATGATGGATTCCATTAACAGGTAAAGCGTTCTCTTTATGGGCAGTGTTGTTCTTTACCAAATTCTTAAGCATGCTTTCCTGTTCATGCACAATCATTTCTTGAAGTTCCATATAGTTCTCTTTGATTCTGTTATTGGGATCATTAGAAAACACTACCAGCAAGGGTAAATGGTTAGAGTTCGGTGTTACACCGGTATGTACATTCCCACAGGTAAGATCACTTTGAACATCGCTCTCTATATCAATCTCCAGTTGATTAGTACTCATTGTTTTGTCTGCCTTGGTCCATCTTTTCACAGTGCTAGACACATCAAACATCGTCCAACCACATTCTTGGATTTCTTTGGAGACTAGGACGGATTTGACAGTATTTGGTTCCTCCCAGTTGTTTCCTTCAAGGACATCATACACAGCTATATTTCCTTTAAAGTTCACCAAACTCTTTGTGCCCTTTTGACAGTCAGTGTGGATTCTGAATTCAGCTCTGGTGACATCTTCATGCCATGGGATGGAGACATTGAACAGCAAAATGTATTTCTGAAATGGATTCATTTCCAGAGGAGAAAGAGAAGTAATATCTGGAGAAGAAAACCGATAAACACTATTATCATGACTACTTGCCATAATGTGAAATTTCTCAGGAAGTATATGTTAGTCTTGAATCTTCAGTGCCTTGATCAATAGCTTGCTGTTTTAATTTAAATATTATTTAGTTTCATTTGTTTTTTATCCACTTTTCTCTGGGATTATGATCCATGGTAAGTTAGAACAGCAATAGAAAATAGAAGATAATAAAGAAAATAGAAACCAAAGGGAATAAAGGTAATAACCAATAGATTATTCCACCGGAAAAAGTGATTGCCATATTAACATCAAAAGAAGCATTAAAACACCAACAACAGTACTCCCACAAGACTCTTCACATAAGGTGTTTATCTGCCAGTAGGAGAGCAGAGTTGAACCCAGGCTAGAAGCTTTCCATAGTATGAGAAAGCTTTTTGTTATGGCCTCACCAACGATACCTATGAGAGTGGTAGAACTTAGGGTGCTTTTGCACTGAACATATAATGTGGTTTGAAGCTAACTTGAGGCTGCGATGACCTTAAAATAGCAATGTGTGCTACAATTTGTAAAGGTGATACAGCACTTTAAAAGTCCCAGTGAAATCTGTGTTCAGTCAAAAAAAATATGCTGAAACTGATCCTTATGTATCCAGGATCCAGGGCAATGTCGTTCTGCAAAATGTAGAATGCATTGTAGACACCCACCTCTGCTGAAGCACAATAAAAATCCCAAAGTGAGACTTAGGGCCCTTCTACACTTACCTAAAACCTGGGAGGAAGCAGGTTAAAATAAAATATTTTGAGAAGACACGATCCACAAGAAGAGACAATAATGCTTGATAAAGGGGAGGGCAGTACAAAAAGAGATAGCCTCTCAGATGAGTAGACTTCACCAAGGAAGTCACAATGTTATTGAGAAATTTATTAAACACAAATGAACAGAGATGAATTAAACATGAATTTATTTTATTTTTTATTTTTACCAATTTTGCAATTCCAAAATGCCTCTCCACCTCAACTCCAGAAATGTCCAGGCAGCTATATCTCCTCTTGTGTATGAAATCAACTTTTATGAAATTGTATGACTTATATCAAATGAAATCAACCCTTAAAGTATATCTGGAACTGCAAATCTATATAAAAAGACTTATTTAATCTCAGTCCTTGGGACAGGAAGTGGGCTAAACGGGTAATGTATGCAAGCCTGGAGTACCCAAGTCTCACTGATGGGATATATTGTGTTTATGTAAAATGCAACCCCCTTTCATTGTCAACAATTAAATGAGTCCCTCCAGAACTGCAAGCACTATCTCAAGCAAATTTCGACAATTTATTCACACTGTCATTACTTGCAGCAATACCCAATATAGTGGAAGCAACCAAGTTCCTCAGGATGCCCCTGGAAGAGTCAGCACATGCAATGACCCCTGCCAAAAGATGTGTGATGGTGATAGGGGACCAGAAGCAGTGGTTAGCCGACCTGACAAGATGACCCGAGAGTTTGCTGTCTCCCTAGAGAAAAAATCCAAGATGTAACCAAAAGGATGATAAGGCTTGTAAAGCCCACAGACCGTTACTCCTTCCTTTTGGTTCATGTGGGAACCAATGACACTACAAGAAATAGCCTTTGAGAGATCACATGGGATTATGAGGCCACGGGAAGTAAGTTGGATGGGCCTTAAATCCCAGTCATTGTTTCATCTTCCTCCCACTTCAAGGAAACAACCCAGGAAGGGAAAGGATAATAGACGTGAATAACCTTCTTCTCAGATGATGGAACTGTTTGGCTTAGGAGTCCATGGTCTGAGGTTTAATTGCATTGAGCTTCTGTCAAGGAATGGCTTGTGCCTCAGAGAGATTAGCAGGAAGATTTTCGTGAAGAAACACACAAACCTGTCTTCTGGCTGCTAACACATTTCCAGGAACAATTCAAAGTGCAAGTTTTGACCTACAAAACCTTATATGTCTTAGATCCAGGTTATCTGAAGAACTGTATCTCTTTCTATGAACCTTTGAGGCATCTACAATCAATACAAGACAACCTTCTCTCCTGCTCAAGTATGTTTGGTGGGAACACAGGAGAGGGCCTTTTCGGTGGCTGCTCTTATACTGTGGAACCCGCTCCCAAGAGAGAAGAAGACGGCTCCATCCCTGCTTGCCTTCCTCAAGACTTCCTGTCCTTTCTCAGTCAGCAGTCATACTTGCTAAATCCATAATATTGCTAAATCCATAATATTTTGATTGTTCTGCCATCTAATTTTGATTTATTCCACTTCTTCCTAGATTGTTATAAATACTGATATTGTTATGGTATATTCATAGAATCATGGAAGAGACCTCGTGGGCCATCCAGTCCAACCCCCTGCCAAGAAGCAGGAAAATCACATTCAAAACACCCCTGACAGATGGTCATCCATCCTCTGTTTAAAAGCCTCCAAGGAAGGAGCCTCCACCACACTCTGGGGCAGAGAGTTCCACTGCTGAACAGCTCTCACAATTTGGAAGTTTTTCCTAATGTTCAGGTGGAATTCCCTTGGTTTTTTTTTTAAAGTATTCCTATTCACATAGGTGAAGCAATGAAAATATTTCTAGTTGCCTCCTGTGGTTTGCAAAAGACAATTACCGATAGCTAAGAGTACTTTCTTGATAAGTTGTACTAATTATGAACTTTTTGATGCATCTCAATTTGGTCACTGCTGAAAGTATAACTCTTTGGTTTGGAGGTGGGATCATTGTTATCTGCCACAAAGCTCAGAAAGGTTGGCCTTCATTCCTATTCTATTCTATGGCCACTGAGGCAGAACTTTTCTCACATTTCCCTTTGGAACATCTGAAAATTACATTGATTCCTTTTATGTCATTTAATATGGACTAGATATTTTCCTAATATGTGGAGATTGTTCCAGTCTGAGAAAATGGTTTTTACACAGATTTTTTTTCTTTTCTATTAATTTCTTTCTATCTAAATGAGCTGGAGGAGAAATAAGGTCAAAAATATTATTTTCCTTAGTTTCATGCATCCAACTCCTTAAGATTTTTTAAATGGCTATTTCACAAATAATATAAGAAAACAGATGACACAAAATTGTTAGTAGAGCATTTAAAAAAACAATTAAGATTTCCTGGGAACACAAGGCACTAAGATGCCTGGGTAGGATCTTAGCCTAGATGTTTAGGGTGAGGGTGGGGGAAAGCCAAAACTCCTACCTTCAGGACTGAAGCTGCGCACAATATTGGATATGGGGCTGGTAGACTTGTCCTTGCTATATCTATTATACAAATCAATCATGAATTGTGGTGGTTCCTCTTTCATCTTCTCTTCTGAAGGTACTTCTGACAAGTTCAAGTTCCTCAGGAAATCAGCTTTCAAAGTCTCCAGAAACGATTTAAAGTCAAATTGGGCTTCTCCCTCCACGCTCCCAATGTCACCAGAATATTCATGGGAGTTTGGGGTTGTAAGTAATCTGTCCCGGGCTTCCATGGGTTTCCCACTTGTCAAAGGTATCATGATGTTTAGAAGAGTGAAGGCCCCGAAATAATACATTTTTCATGAATCCTGTTTTAAACGAGGGTATAATACAGTAAGGATCCAGGGGAGCAGGCTGACTGAAGTCTGAAATGCAAACACAGAATGCCAATGGCTGACCACTTTCTCAAGCTGCATTGCAGCCGTGTTTTTTCCAGTGCTAGCCCCTTGTGAATCATCAAGCAGATTGGCCATACACTTGCCCTTATCTTGACCACAGTCTCTTATCTATCCGCGCTCTTCACTAATGAATATTCTGTAAACATAAGACAAGTACATATGGTCGGTAGAAGCACACAGCACCCAGAAAAGAATCCATGTTCCTCTTTGCGGTCACCATTGCCTAATTATGTTCCTTTATCATTTTCTTGCCAGCAAACAATATTCATTTTAAAATGCCTGGGGGAAGGCATTAGGACGAAGTTTCCTCTTGTTTCCCACAGCATATAGAATTAAGATAAAAAGAAAGAAAGAATACCTGTTCTAAAATATCTTGACATACCATTAAAAAAGTCACATATGTAGGAGCTTTATTGTGGCAAGAAATAATCCCATTATTGTTAAATAAACATTTAAATATTTCCATTTCTCAGTCAAGTGACTTGCTGTTGTTTGTGGGTGGGGGGGGGGAGTCTGATTGGGTTGGTGTGAGTTGCAACCCAATCAGGTTGCTGATCGGGTTGCTGATTTGGTTGCTTCTGGAACATGGCTGTTTGGCCATGTTCCAGAAACATTATCTCCTGAAAATTTTCCCACATTATTTTTAAAATTTTAACTATTACATCTGGCCCGGCCATAGATTTTTAAATCTTTTTGTGTTATTGTCTATATGTGTGTTATATTAATTGTATTGTTTATTTGCTTATTGCTTGTTATTTTTACTGATGTGTTGTTGGGCTTGGCCTCATGTAAGCCACTCCAAGTCCCTTGGGGAGATGGTGGCGGGGTATAAATAAAGTATTATTATTATTAGTATTATCTATGGTAGGCATCCTCAGAGTTTGTGAGATCTGTTGGAAACTAGGCAAGTGAGGTTTATGTATCTATGAATCTTCCTGATTTCATATGATACAAGCCACCCTTACTTTGGAGATCTTTTTTAGCTCTATATAACAAACAACATTATTATGGATGCCTGTTTGTATGTGTGTATTAGCTTCATTTGTATGCCTTTGTATGCCTTCTCCCAGAATAAATTTTAAAACTATTTAAATCACTACATAAAACAATAAAATAATGTAAAAAAAATGTACAAAGTTTAAAAAGACAAATAAAAGCTCTCACTAAAAAAAACTTCCTGGCTTATATATTTCAAATCTGCTTAAACGAAAAGGCCTTTGCCTGCTGGGAAAAGAAAAACAATGAAAGGGCAAACCTAGCTTCCTGCAGAAGATGGCAGCAGCCACTGAGAAGACTATTTTGTCCTCACCAAGCGAGTGTGCAATGTTGGGAGACTGAGCGCAAACCTTCGTCAGACCCATAGTAGACTTGTGTGAGGAGACATATTTTTTTCACTAGTCTTGATCTAAGCCACAGAGGGTTTTATAGGTCTTGATCAACACTATGAATTGGGCCCAGAAATGAACTGATGACCAGTGCAACTGTTTTAACAAGGGAATTATATGCTCCGTATAACTGACCACAGCCATCATTCTGGCAGCAATACTTTGGACCTGCTGAAGTTTCTGAACAGTTTTCAAAGACAGCCCATGTGGAGCACATTATATTGCTCCAAAGAGAATACAATCCAGGCACGTGTCACTGTAGCCAGCTCTGATGTCTTAAGGAGTAGGCATCACTGGCACATTAGTTTTAGCCAGGGGCGGCTCAACCCATTACGCAAAGTAAGCATTTGCAGTATAGTTGATTTTGCCCAGGGGCACTCATGAGGCGCTCTTGAGGGGGGAAAAAAGCTTTGACATATGCAAGTTGTAGTTACTGGGATGTATAGTTCACCTACAATCAAAGAGCATTCTGAACTCCACCAATGATGGAACTGAACCAAATATGGCACACAGAACTCCCACGAAGAACAGAAAATATATATCAGTGATTGGTTGGGGGGGGGGGGGGCAAAATACTGTTTGCTTACCGTTGAAAATTATCTAGGGCCGCCCCTGGTTTTAGCTGTGCAAATGCACTCCTGAGCACTTCTGAAACTTTGAATCCTAAAAACACTTTGTCTAACATAATTATTAGTAAAGTTAGCTTTAATTTTAACTGTATCATACCATAGGTACCACTGCATCCATATTCTCAGATTTTGATAGCCTTGTTTCCTGAACTGACATATGCCTGTAATAATAGAATAATAGAGTTGGAAGAGATCACATGGGTAATCTAGTCCAACCCCTGCCATGCAGGAAAGGCACAGTCAAAGTATCCCTGACAGATGGCAGGGACATGACAGTTAGAACATTTGGAAATAAAAACATAAGATTCAATAAACAGGTTGTTGTAAGCCTCCCTGAGTCCCCTGTGTGGTTGAGAAGGACTGGATATAAATGAAGTAAATAAATAAATAAATAAATAAATAAATGCTTCTGCCTCTGCTCACTGGGAGAGAGAATTTCCACTATCACCACTTGAGTCCTTATGACCCCTTTTGACAGATTCTCTGAAAATAGCCTTCCATCCAAGTTCAGTGCTTTTTTTGCTGGAGAAAGCAGCAGTTGGTCTAATTGCACCAAGATTACAAAAACTTGGCACCTGCCATATCTCTGTCCTGGCCCAGTGCCCAGACTTTATATTCAAAATATGAAGATCTTTTCCATTTCACACATTCCATCCACAAACTCATGCAGCAGCTCTCAGAGAAGTAGAATGAAGACATGTTGATATAGAAAAATTAGCCTTCACATTCATTTAACAGGGATGCTTCCTATTTACCAGTCTAAAATTATTTATTATTTATTTATTTCAGGTATTTCTACCCCGCCCTTCTCAACCCCCCGAAGGGGGACTCAGGGCGGCTTCCAACTGGCATACGTTGATGCCTACAGTTCACACAGTAAAATACATAGTAACAATAAATTATAACCGTTAAAACATTACATTAATACAATAAAAATACAACAAAATGCCAGCCTGGTGGCCATCGTTTTGCCAAGTCCATAATTAATAAATTCATTCCACTTATCATAGTCCGTTTCCAAAGTTTTAGTCGTCATTGTCCATTGTCAATCTGCCAGATTATCCAAAGGCCTGGTCCCATATCCATGTTTTTAATTTCCTTCTGAAAGAGAGGAGGAATGACGATGATCTAATTTCCCCAAGGAGTGAATTCCACAGGCGGGGGGCCACCAGCGAGAAGGCCCTGTCTCTCGTCCCCGCCAACCTCGTTTGTGACAATTTTACAACTTGAACAACAAGAAGCCTAGAAATATAAAATGTTTCCAGATGTTGGGCCTAAAAATCTTTGTATATTTTTAATGAAACATAGATAGCATCTCTAGGAAATGTCACTATAAGAAACCCAGGGGCCATGGTAGCACAGTGGGTTAAACCGCTAGCTGTAGGAGATCTGCTGACCGGAAAGTCAGCAGTTCAAAACCACAAGTCAGGGTGAGCTCCCAAATGTCAGCCCTAGCTTCTGCCAACCTAGCAGTTCAAAAGCATGCAATGTGGGTAGATCAATAGGCACTCCCTTGTCGGGAAGGTAAAAGGGTGCCTCATGCAGATATTCAAACATGCCAGCAACACAGTCGGAGATGTCTATGGACAACCGGCTCTTCGGCATGGAAAAATGGAACAAGAGCACCTCCCCATAGCTGGAGTTGAGCATCACCTCCAGACGCCAGAGATGGAAAAAGGGGAAGGCCTTTATCTTTGTCTGTGTTGTATGTTGTTGTTCACAGTGTGTAAAAGGCACTGAATGTTTGTCTCATATGTGTATATTGTAATCCGCTCTGAGTCCCTCTGGGGAGATAAAGCGGAATATAAGTAACGTGTATTATTATCATGATTGTGATAATTTTCTCTTCCCCACCCCTGCCCCTCCCAAATATAGATACAAAAAAAACACTTCTTTTGAAGTTTCTGATAGCCATTGACGAACTTGTGAAAAATGTCTAGTGCTTATCTTCTATTAGCCTTTAATGACAACCTGGAGAGATGCAAGCGGACTCATCAAGCCAAATTAAGCAGTCCAGCTGTGATGCCTCTCACACACATTTTAATCAGGGAAAGATAATTTGTGAGAACATTAATGAAAACAGATTGCTCCCAAAGTCTCCATGTGGGGCCTGTGATGCATTATTTTCTCTCTCAACAATAATTATTCTTATCATCTTTAAATGAGAAATTCCTGTCAAGGTACTGAAGGAAGGTAGAACATAATGAAGACAAATGATATGCTTTAGGTGTACACGGTGCTGTCAGTTTGGCTAATGCCTTCCTTAGTATGAAGTACAATTGAATCAGGGCTCAAATTTCTCTTATGTTCAATCGTAGGAAACAAGTGCTAAGAGTAATTTATGTGAAATGCATAGAGGTGAAAAAATGAAAAGAGAGAAGACAGCTTACAAGACACCCAAACACTTTCATGAGACTTGAGAGCAACGGATACCGGGCAACACACAGGCCCCTGCCTTCAAGCTGATCTGAACTGCAGCAGGGAGTTCCACAGTTCCTGGATGTCCAGTTGGGCCAGCAACAAAGGGACTTTGGCCACAGTAGCAGCTCAACTAAAGGAACCACTTTTGAGTTGCTTTCTTCCCCCTTACCCTAACATTGTAACAAATCCCCCAATAAAGTATCTTCTAATTGTAACTAACAACTAGTTCATGGTATAAAATACTTCTTTTGTAGCTGCACATATTTTTGAAACAGAAAAGACTTTTCGAATGTGCCTAGTAAGTTGGCAGCAGAATTGAAATTAGCATCCCTTCTCTAGAGCAGGGCATTTCAAACTCTTCCCACTTGCAACCCAGTAAACTTTTATGCGGTCCCAAGCTTGTGTGTGTGCGTGCATATTTCTTCCTCAAATGCTTCTATATGGCTTGATAGATCTGTATTCATTTATGTACCATGTTTATACCCTGCCCTTCTCAAACGCAAAGAGGACTCAAGGCAGCTTTACACACAGGCAACTATTCAATGCCTTAAAAACAACATACAATTAAAATAAACATTAAAATTAAAATTAATAC